TTTGAAAAAACTTTAATTTTCTATATTACGCATACAAAAGATAATTTTTACAAAATATATTTTTGAAATATATTTGATTCTGAAAAAATTTTAAAATTTTAATTTCTTATTTTTTAAGCATGTTTTAATTTTATGATTTAAAATTTTTTTTAATTATTAATTATATTAATTATTTTTTTAATTATATTATCAATTTTAATTATTTTAATTATATTATCAATTATATTTTTTTTATAATCATATATTATAAATTTATTAGTTTAAATTTATTTTAAAATAAATATAAAGAATGATTTTTTAATATAAATATAAAAAATTAAAAATATGTATAAAATGATAATTTTCTTTAATCTGTTCTTTAATATAAATTTAAATTACATTTCTTTATCCAAGTACTTATCAATTATTTACTAAAAATAAAAATTACTATAAATTATTTAATTGAAAAAAAAATTAATCAAAACAATGAAAATAATAATTTTTAAGTAATTTGCGGCAGATCAATGAATTTTTTAATGAAATTAAAATTTATCATTATAGAAATAAATTTCATTCATTATTAGAAGCCATAAATGAAAAAAAAAAATTTTCTTTATTTCTTATTTTATTCTATTCTTATAAACATATCAATTTCAAAGAAAATTTTGCAAATCTTATATTCTAATTTCAACATTTATACAACACATTCATTTTCTTATCTTTTCTCTTAAACTTTTATTATTTTACCTCTATATTCTTTAATTAAACAAACCTCCTAAGTGTGTCCAGTTCGATTAGAATCAGAAAACCAAAGAAAATTCCTCCTTCCTCTCCGTCATATTTTTCTTCCATTATACCAATACAGAGAATGGATAACGTGTGCTACAGGCAAGGATTACATAGAATCAACGAAAATTCGCAAGAGGTGGTGCGGCAGGAGATAGAACGCGCGTGCATATCCGATGAGAGGACTTTCACGAAATGGTAAAATACGAAAATTGGCTGGCATTTCGGGAACAGAATTATTGAACATACACGTATAGGAAAATCTTGTACTGGCTAATGATGGGATGAAATCTGTCGCAAATATGTTTAATCGTTTACAGACAAATTTAAACATCTTTTATGAGTATTTCGAAAAAAGAAATGATATTTTCAAGTAAACTCAAATCTGAGTTGAATGAATCTATTTCAGAAATAAACTAAATATTCAGATACACTGATTTTAAATTTGAAAAATAGTTTTTAAAAAATTTGAAAATATTATTTTATTTATAATAATAGTTTTTTATTTGATATAAAAAAAGTATAAGATATATTAATAAATTAAAAAAGAAAAGAAAAACATATACAATATTAATCATTTATGAAATTTTATCAAAAATAAAAAATGTTCTAAGATTTTTGAGTGAACATATACTTCAATATGTTTAAATCTTATATTTACAAAAATATGAATACTTATAAAAATGGAAGAAATAAAGTTAAATAAAGTCAAATATTGGTTGGTTATGTTAAAAAATTTAACTATTTTTTATTTATTAAAATTAATCTTGATTGTCTTTAAAAGTAATTTTAACATATTGTAATTTTCATGTGTAATTTAATTTATCCTAACAAATGATTAAATATATCGATTCATAAGTACTCATTCTGAGATTCGAAATTTGTCTACAAAAACTTGTATGACATATTATAAAAAATTAAATTCATTTCAGAAAAACATTAAAAAAATAAATAATTCATATACAATTTAATGTGAAACACAATTGTTATTTATAGATCATTCAGTTTATATTTTAAAATAGTTATATATTTTAATAAATTGAAAATTCTTTAGTAAATGATATTTAATTATTTATTTTTAAATAATAATTATTTTTAAAATAGAACAAATCTATTCTTTAAAATTTAATAAAATAAAATTTGATAAACTAAGTATAAAGAATAAAATTTTAGAATTAAAAAACATTAATCTAATTTATATGAATTATATAATTTAAAAAAATATAAATATAAATTTGAAATAATATATAAATAATATATATAATATATAAATAATATTATTTATATAAATAATATATACAATATATATATATATATATATATATATATATATTTAATATATAAATTTGAAATAATCATGAATCATATTTCATTTATATTTCATTATTATTTAGAATTGCATTAAGTTCAAAAATTTATTTATAATTCATTATTTAAATTAATTATTTTAGTTTTGTTCATGTATGACTTATTACGTATCATTTAAATATTATATCAATTGATTCATAATGTATTAACACTAAATAAATAAATAATTGAATTAAACAAGAATATTTTGTTTCTTGTTCTTATTTAAAAATAAAGCTTTGTTTAATCTTTTAATCTTAATTTTCATAAAAATTATTTATAAATATAAATAATTCTTATAAATATTACACAGTATAAATGGAATAAATAGCAATAGATATTATATTCTTCAATTTTTTTTCATCATTCTTTACAAAATATTATTTAATAATTATAAACATTAAAGAAAAATTCCAAGTAAGATAACTCTCTCTTATATACCAATTAAAATACAAAAGAAAATCATTTACATAATTAGTAAATTACATAAAAGTATAGGAATTTTTCTATGTAATTATAAATTAAAGAATTACTATAATTAAATATTAATAGATGCAAAAATTAATAAAAAACTCATTTTCTAATTCATCTTGTAGCATAGCTTTCTCTTATATACTCCTTAATTTACATATACTTAGATGCATTACAAAAATTTATAAAAAAGTGAATAAATTTAGAATGATTTATTAATATTTTTAAATTAATTAAAATGCAAATTTTTAAATACTTTGACATAACAAATTGATAAATGAATTTATTACTTTTCTTTTAATAGTATAATCTATTTCTTCAAATAATATTTATGATATAATCTTTTACATTGAATTTAAGATAAATATTTACAAATCATCTTCCAATTTCAACGATTTTTTAATATATTATTAAAATTATTACACTGAATAATGTTATAAAAGTTTTACTTAACATTATTTACTAAAAATATATTTATTAACAAAAACAATTTAAATTAGATTAGATTAGGCTCTTGTTTATTAAACAATTATTAATATGTATACATTATAACAATATAAACTATGAAAATTAAATAAATTTGATATTATATTAATTAATTGTTATTAATATATAAATATTAATAATTTGATATAATATTAATTATTTTATGTTAATTTTAAAATTAATTTTAAAATTCAAAATAAAATTAAATAAAAAAACATTTAATTGTTAGTCAATTTAATGATTTGCATTAAATAATAATTGCAAATTTGGATTAATTTTTTTAATTTGGCCATCAATTATCTGTAGCAATAAATCTAATTAAAATTAATTTATCCTATCTCAATTTATATTGTTTTTTTTGTTAAAGAAATATTTTTGTTATTAATTTTTTAATGAGCAACGATTGTTAAATAAAATCTTCACAACATTATTTAAACTAATGATTTTGACAATATTAAAAACAAAAAAATTATCAAAATCGAAAGATAATAGTTTTTTATAAACAATTATCGAATTTGATTCAGATTTATTTGATTTGATTCAGATTTAATTAAGCCTTTATTGAACTTGATCTCATCACTAGCGCCGGCCAATATTTCCGAAAACGTGTTAGTCCCGCTTGTGTATATCGATTTTGACGGAATTCGCGCGGACATCCCCAAAATCGCGGGAATTGTTGCAGCGCGCTTTTATATTTACGAGCCACAGCTGTCCGATCGCGTCTACAATTTACTACGGCCACGTCCCGCACACCTGCGTTTTTTAAATTATCTAACGACGGTCTGGCTTCCTATTACCGTGTATGACAAGAGCTCAATTCAATTGTATTCGACGTGAATGTCTGGAAATTATCCGATCGTTCGAATCGTTAAGTGTCTAATGCTATTGAAAGAATCAAATTGGGAAAGTCTGTTTTTGTGCTTTTGACAGCTCTAATCGCTATTTAATGGTTTGGTCGTTGATTGGTAAGATTGAAGCGATCAATCATTTTCTGTCAAAGCCAATAGTGAAAATGGGAAATATAGCAAACAATTTTTGATACATGAAAATTTATCATTGTATAATATAAATATTGAATTAAAAGATTAATATTAAAAGACAAAAACAAAAGACAAAGATAGAAAAATAAACAAACAGACAAAAATAGAAATGGCAGGAAATGTTTATTATTGAAATAAAATATAAAAATGAATTTTGAATTGTATCTTCTGAATTTAATGTTTTGAGTTTTATTTTAGTTTTTAAATTTTAAATTTTAAATTTTGAATTTAAGATATTGAATGTTTTGAATGTTTTATTGTAGATTTTTAGTTTTGGATTCTGGATTTTAGATTTCAAGTAGATATTCTGAATTCTGGATTCTAGTTTTATGTTTTGAATTTTGATTTTAAATTCTAATTATCGATTTTGAATTTTCGAATTTAAATTTCGGATTTTCTGGATTTTCTGAATTTCTGGATTTTCTGAAATTTCGGAAGTTCTGGATATCAGGTTTTGAATTATTGATTTTATATTGATTATTTTTGAATAATAATTTTGAGTAATAGTTTTTAGTTTCGGATTTTGGATTCTAGGTTTTGAATAGATTTTGAATTTTGAAATTTGCATTTTATTTAAGTTTTAAATTTTAAATATTGAATGAACATTAGAATATTATTACATATAAATATACATTAGAATATTTCTTATTTTTTTTTATGATGATATATATATAATGATTTTATATATATATATTATAAAATTATAGAATATTATAATGAAGTTAATTATTTTTAACAAATAATAATTTTGTTATTTATATTATTTCTAGTTTTTTAAAATGAAAAAGAAATCAAAGTTTGTTTCAGATGGATTTTATATTAATAAAATTTTTTTCTCAATTTTTAAAAATTGACGTTTATTTATATATTTTCTTTGTTTTATGATTGCAGATGAAGTAGATGTAATCGGTTATACAAGCAATCAATCGGACACCGATGATCACAGCAGCGTGCAAAGCAGCAGCGACAGTGGCGTCACAATGTCCACCTCCAGGCTGACCCTTTCCGAAATGATGGACAATCTTTAGGTATACAATATATCATTTATTTTTTATTTATTTGGAATTTTTCAATATTTTGATTCCTTGCTTTAAAATAACATCTCTAAAATGTCATTCAATTTTTTAAGTTTCTTGTAGCAAATTTTATTGTATTCTAAGAAAACTTTAATAATTTTAAATATTTTTATCATTTTATAGTTATAACTTTGAGTATTTGAACTTTTATATAAAATTAAAAATATTTCTTAGTTTTATATGTTTCGATTAAATTATGAAGAAGGAAAAATAATAAAACTATTAAAGAAATAAATTTTTATTTAACTAATAATTTTTTATAATTGATAATAATTAGTTTTAAAAAAAAATTATTTGTTTAAATCAATGATTCCCAATCTGTGCATCAGAATCACAAAAAGATTGTCATAATTATATTTACTTATATAAATAATTTTATAAAAATTTTCAGCATTTACAAAAAATAAAAATGATTTTATTACGATAAATACTGAAAAAAATATTAAAAAGCCATCATGATAATACATTATATATTATATATTTTATATTTCTCACGACGTTTTTAATATTTTGTTATATTCTAATATTCTCATGTGCACCTTTAAAAATAAAATCATATTAATTTTACTATATCGAATATACATGAGAAGATTCATTTATTTAATTATTACAAAAGAAAATCATGTCTCGAAAAACATTAGAAAATCTTGATTTAGATAAAAAAATAAAGGATCCATAACGCTAAAAAACGAGAGAATCAGAAGATCTCTTGCAAAAGAAAAAAGAAAAAAAAAACAAAATAGCATGAAACGAGTACGTTAATCTTCCGCTCATGTTCAAAAATAATTAAAATCGGCTCATTAAACTACTTTAGAAAACTTTACCAACATTTCCTCGCTCACACTAAACACCTCAATCCATATTTCTTAAATATTCCACTCCATGCAAAAAAAAACCTTGCACCGGTTTTTAAAACTATATATTGGCCCGCATTCAGAACACGCTGTCAAGGGTTTAAATGCCCTTTCAACTCGTGTTTTTAGCACCAATTATATTCAGAATGCGGCTGGTAACAATGTGCCGGTAGCCAAACCGTTCCTTCTTTTTTCTTCTTTCTCTTTCTTTCTTTCCTCTTCTCTTTTCTTCTCTCTCTCTCTCTCTTTCTCTCTCTCTCTTCCTTTCTCACTTTTGTAGGCCAACGTATCAAAGTCACGTTCTAAATTTAATAGCGTTAAAAGCTCGAGTTGAAAGAGCATCCTTAACAACACCTTCTGAATACGAGCCATTTTGCAAACGCATATACAACGTGGATCGTAAATGTTCGAAATTTCTATTTTTACATTTCTATTTTCCTCTGTTGATGGAAACGTTCGGATAATAATCGTGAACCATTGATATACCATGCGCTTTTTATGAATTTCGAAATGATTATGTTTCTATACGAATTACTTTATATTCGATTTTTAATGACTTTATTGAATTGTTCAAAAAGTTTTTTTTGTGTTTTTATTATATAAATCTGTATCCTTATAGAAATTTTAAAATCATTAATATATTTCAATGATCGCCATTTATATAATTTTATTAATTTATTTTTAATTTAAGTTAAAGTTCTATTTTCTAATTTATTTTTTTTTTTAATATTTTTAACTTGTTTGCAAAATGCTTAAGATAGCTTTTAATATTATTTAAAAAACTAATTTTTATGAAATCATCATTTTTCATTTTTATGAAAAATCATCAAATCATTTGATTATTCTATTTGTAAAAGTATATTTATAAATCTATAAATTTGTAAATTTGTAAACTTGTGTACTTCAAATAATATATTTAATAATTATTATACAGATAAGTTTTACAAAAGTTTATATTTAACAAGAAAACACTATTGGAAAGTTAAAAAAAAACTAAATATTCCAATATCATTAAAAATAAAGTAGATTGTATATTTTTTAAATTGAATTTTTAAAATTACATATGATAAAAAATGAAAAATTTTAAAATCTAATATTAATCTAATATAAACAATATAATAACGAATCTGATTAACACTGTTTTTTTAATACTTTCTATAATAAAAATAGATATATTATATTATTTCATGGAATATTATTTTATAATAATTTCAACAAATACTTTTTATTTAAAAAGAAATTATGCAATGATTTATAAATATTTAATGTTTTATCTTAATATGTAATCATTTAATTACTTCATATTTCTTTTTTTAGTTTTTAAAAAATTATATAATTATTTGCTAATTGGATTATTTATTCTAGTAAATGAAAGATTTTTTGATTTCTTTTTTTTTTTTTTTGATTTTTTGAAGAAATTTGAATAGAAATTTAATTTCTTTTTTGATCATGTTGAATTAATGTTGAATTAATGTTTATATAATTTTCTTAATATTTTTGTAGCAAATATTTCTTTTTCTTTTCTAAAATTAAAACTATTCAAAAAAAAGATATCTTAAAGCTCATTAAAATGAGTAATGTGTAATGAGTAATTTAATGTGTAAATAAGTGTAAATAATGTATAAATAATTTAACGAAAGAATATGAATTATAAAGTTTTTTTTTTTAAATTTATTTCAAGGTTTTCCATTAAGAAATGAAATGCTTATATTTAAGCATTACTATTATAAATCTATAATGAATTAGAAATATTATTGTAAAATTAATCGAATTTTAATAAAATTAATAAATTAAAAGTTTATTTCAAAATTTTATATTTTTCTTATTTCAAATTAAGCAAAAAATAATTATAAATAATATATAAATTTAAAATATTTATAAAAATATATTTTTTTGGATATCTTATAATTAAATATCTATTATAATAAAAAATGTGAACAGAAGTTTTTAATTTATTCACAATTGTCTCTATATTATTTTACAAAATTATCAAATTATTATCATTTCATTTTAAATTTTATGCTATCTTGTCCAAAATATTTTTTCAAAAATATTCTGTATATTTAATTATAGCAACCATATCTTATTATCGAATATTAATTACACAATTCTTGAAAAAAAGAATATTTTACACATAAAAGATAAGAAAGAAAAAGTATAACACACGCGATAAAAAAAATAAAAAGAAAGATAATCAAAAGCAAGCGGAAAATTAACTGCTCCAAGTAAAAGAAAGTGGTGGACATGCTCGCCTTTTTTCTCGTGGTGCGTTCATAATCATCATAATCATATCTTGTGATAAAGAACCAGATAAAAGAGTGAAAAGAGCGAAAGAAATATGTATAATATTTGAGGCAACATCGAGTAGTATAAAAATAAAAACAATATATTACATAAAAAAAAATATGTTTCTTCACAGAATATATTACATATTACATTTCTTTCTCGCGATGAAAAAAAATATACATTAAAAAAAGGCATTTTATTGCAGGTAAAATTTATAGCTTAACCTTTTCAACTTTACATATAAATACATACAACACTTTAATTAGTTATTAATAGTTATTAATAGATTGTGAATTTTTATATGAATATTTATGTAAAATATATATAAAAATATGTAATAAATGAATTTTTTGTAATAAAAAATCATTTATATAAAATATGCGAATATAATGTATAAATATATAATATGTGAATATAATATATAATATGTGAATTTTATCATACATAATATATAAATATATAAATATTTATAAATATAATATATAAATTTTTTCAAAATTTTTTAATTTTATCAAACTTTTAAATTTTATCAAAACTTTTACATTTTTTGTATATTTAATATAATTTTGTATAATAACAAATCAAACATATAATAAACAGATTATAATTTTTTATAATGAAAAATTCCAGCTAATTTAACATGTAAATATTATACTATTCATAAAAAAAATAGGAATATAATATTGAAAAAATAATACAATATAAAATAATATATTTAAATAAAATAAATCATACAATATATATAAATATTTTTTGTGATGTAGAACGATCTTTTTTTGAAAATTTATTTTTTCAAATAAACAATATCAACTAAATATGATAGAAAATTTGAAGAAAATTATTATTATATATTATATAAATTAATATATAAGTATATGCATATATATAATTATTAATATTTCTCAAATATTATAAAATATGAAAGTTTAGAAATAATAAAATATTTCAAATAAGAATATAAAAAATTATTAAATTTATTTATTACGATCAAAAATAATAATTTATAAAATAATAAAATCGACGATGAAAATCTCATATTTGAACTTTTACTTCATTGAAATGACCATCTTTATTTTTAATTTTTAACATTCTATTTATAAATTTTTTTTTGCCTAAAGTAATTTTTAATGTCAATTAATATTATTATAAGCAGTTAATTTTATGTATTTACAAAAGATTCTTTATTGCAAAAATATTATTTTTAATAATTTCTTTCAAATTTTAATATATATAAACTTTTCAGTAATATATATATATGTGTGTGTGTATATATGTATATATGTGAATATGTATATTATATGAATATATATATTATAATAATATATATTATATGAATATATTCTACATATTAATTGAATATTTGAATGTATTTTAATCATATAAAAATCCGTAATCTAACTATTAAATAACTATTGAATATATTTCTTTTTGATGAAAAAAATCATTATAATATATACAATATATAAATTATTAATAAATTAATTAAAATTATATAAATTTTTTTACAAAATCATGAAAAATAAATATTTATTATTAATCAATAAAATAAAACTTTTCTTTTATTTATAAAAAAATTTAATTTTAGAAATTTTAAATAAAATTAGAATTTTCGTTTTCCTTTCAATTATTTATATATTATCAAAGTCTTTAAGATTTAAAAAAAAAAAGTAATATTTTTATTAAATTTTGGATTGTTAAGAAAAAAAATTTAAAAAAAGAAGAAAATAATAAAATAAGTACGGAAACTCTAAAATGAAAAATTTCTACGAAATAGATTGTATTTCATAAGATATAAATTTGTGTTTCTAAACTTTTTTGGTTTTTTCTGATTACTTGTTATTCAAAATGAATTGAAAATTTATTTTCTTAGATACTATTCAACATGATGTAATATTATCTTTTTTCTCTTAGTTTTTTCTTAATGTTTCTTTATTATTAACAAATTTTTTAAGTTTGAAAAAATTATATTAGAAAGAGTATTAAAAAATTATTATAATTAAATGAAAAAATAAACAATTTTCAATAATTTTTTTAAATTATATAATTTTTTTATTATTTTTTATTATATATTATTCGATAATGAAACTATAAAAAAGTGATTCAAAAACTATGAAAAAAGATAATCAAATAAAATATTAAAAATTTTACTTTTCAAAATTTTTAATAATCTGTATAAGTTTATATAAAAAAAATTACATTACATTAATGTAATTACATTAAAATTCCATTTTTATTCAAACTTCAAATAAATAATAATTTCCTGTATAGTTCGTTTATCGTTTATATCGTTTAAAACATCAAAAATCTTATTTGTGAAAACAGAAATAAAAACTTAAAAATTCAAAGCAGATTCAAAACCCATGTTCAATTTTTCCCACTAGTTTGACATATAATGTTAGCTTTCAGAATTTTTGAAAAAACTTTTACAAAAGTTCTCGAAAGCTTGATTAAAAAATACAATTCTATGAAAATATCTCTGAACAGCACATCCAACAAATATTTCAAGATAACGAGTTCCAAAAAAATTTTCAATATTATCATTCTTATGCAGGAATGGGATCAAGTTAAATATGTACGAATTTTTATCAATTTCAATTTCCATATTCTAATCTAAGTTTTTTGAATATTACTCAAAAAAAAAAAATAATATTTCAGTAATTATATTATATTTATGCTATATTATTATATTACATTACTTCAAATCTATTCAATTTTACATTGAATTTATAATAATTTTACAAGTTCATATCGAACAAATATGATAGAATACGTATTTGAAAATTTCGAAAAGATATATTCAATACATTAATTATATAATAAATAAAATAAAAAGAAAACATTTCAAAAGTAAAAATATTTGTATTAATTACTGTGTTTTATCGGTTATTATTTAATATTACTTTTAAGGTTATTATAAAAAATATTTTTGTATATTTCGTTTTTATTTTCCAATATATTATATAAGTACATATTAAAGTATAATTTAAAGTATTCCTTATTAGTAGAATTTTTGCAAATAAAATAATACGAATAAAATTTAAATAGGCTAAATAAAGTAAAAATCTTATGAACCGGTTATTCGTATAGATTCAATATATATGAATATTATTTTCATTTTTCAAAATATTTATAAATCAAATCTAATCAAAATTCGAATTATTTATTCCATCCTATCATTATTCTTGTGAATTCAAAATGCAAAAGATTCAAAATAAAAATTAAAAAAATCCTCAATCCATACTTAAGAACAACTCCTTTCTATATTCCAGTATATCTTCATTCCAAACAATCGTCAAGCATTTTCTCATCTCAAATTCCCTGCTTTGAATGCTTCGAAAACCGAAAAAAACGAATATGATGGAACACTAGATTTTTCGCGTACTATTTACCAAAATCCCGTAGAATGTAAATCTCTCACTTTTTTCACGAGCACAACGCGCCAAAACTAGCACAGTACAGGTTTATCGTATAGAATAAAATAAAAAGAAAATGAAAAAAAAGAAAAAAAAAAAAAGCGTAGTGAAAAAGCAACACGGATCTTGACAAACAAATTCTCATGTCCGTATCTTTGGGCTATTTGCAGACAAAGAGGTGGCGCGGTGGCGGCGGAAGAACGTGGAGGGGGAGCATTTGAAGGCGAGGAAGAGGAAGCGGCGGAGAAAGATTGTGCGAGGGATGCTGGACGAGAGGGACGCACGAGGGGCGAAAAAGAGGCAGGGGAGAAGAGAAGAGAGCAATCTGAGCGTACGAGGTATCCAGTTCGCATACACGCATCTACGCACCACCCTTTTGGTCTACTTCGCGAAAGGTCGCGGAACGCGCGCCGCGATACTCTTCGCCAAGGATAAGACGTTGAAGAGGCGACATCATCGGCGTGTACGCGTGACTAACTTGGATAGTGTTTGAAGAAGAAAGGGATGAAACGGAAGAAATAGCAAGAAGAATGACTTCGAACAATCGGCCGAAGGTAGCAACGAAGATACGAGAGAAACGAAGAAGAGGAAGCATGACGAATAGTGTGAAATCTTGGCGCAAATCTATCGACGTCAAACTAACTGTCGCGAAATGGGGTGGGGAGATTGACTTTGAACAAAACCACCTTTGTAACACGCAATAGAAGAGAAAAAGCGTTCCTCGTGAAGACGAGAATTATGAGGAGGGAGCGCGGGGAACGAGCTGCAAGCATCATGTGTAAATTGTCAATCGAATATTGTACATATTTTTAAGGGAGACTAAATTTATCGAGTGGGAGAAACGGGAAATTGGAGGGATAAATGGGAATGAGAAGCGAATTCCCAGCGTTTCTTCCTCGATGGAAAGTGTAGTATCGTGGAGTATCGGTCGGTTCGTGTGAACGCGTCGATTTTTCCGGAAGAGATCGCCCTGATCGAGGAGCCACGATTGGAGGAAAGATGATCGATCGAACCATTCAGGATTTGATGGAGGCTCATCTTTCTCATGCCTCTGATCGATTGGCTTTGGATCGAAATTCGCGGAGAATCCTTAAGAACAAAGCTTGCGCTGATGCAAGAGCGTAACAGCCTCGTTGCCACTTCCATCACCATACCCAAAATCTTTTGTCGATTCTTCTTTTTCACAACGATGATCGACCCTCGTTTTATGTCTTTCTCGTCTCGATTCGACGCGAGGTTTCCGTTGGTACGGGAATGAGTTGTTACGCATTCGAATAACGGGAGACAAGCGTGAACTGCATGAAACCATGAGGATAGAGAGAGAAAAAAAGAATATTCGCCGCTCTATCTTTTCGAGGATGTATTATTTTGTCGCCGCCGATGTCCGCTTCGATGATCGCGGGCAGTCGTCGATTTGATTTCTCGAGGTTATTGTATTTCGCTTTCGACAATGACACAAGGAGTGAAGGTGTCCGCTTTTTTGTTTCAAGCGTCGTGAAATAATTCATGGACAACTTTGCTCTTTTCGAGTGCGAAAAAGAGAGAAGTTTGTTAAGGATGAATACGCGTAGGAGAGCAATGTTTTCACGATAGTTTCACGACGATTCCTGATTAACTATCCTTCGATGATCTATCGAGAGGATCGTTATTGCGAATGCCTTCGGTGCATACCTCTGAGGAAGAAGAATCTTCATTTCCGCCACATTGTACAGGCTCCGTGATCGTGAATACGAGAGAAAAAAAAAAAAAAAAGAAAAAAAGCAGAAATAAAAACGGAGAAGAAATAAATTGAGAAGTAGAAAGTTCGTTTATGAAAGAAAGAAAGAAAGGAAGATGTTTATAAATTGCGAAGAGAAAAAGAAAGGTGGAGAAACAGTGACTGGAAAATAAAGGATGAAACAGTGTGAAAAGACATCAACAGAATTATTATCGTTAATTCCGCCTTTCGATACAGATACAAGCATACATACTCACAAAAGAGTAAGAGAAAGAGATGGGGAAATACATAGAGAGGGAGAAAAAAACTATATAGAAAGAAAGGGAACCGAAAACGAAATAAAAAAAAAGCGTACACACTTCTAAAGTAAGGACATCCATATGCATTATATACATATACACACATACGTACACATACACATACACATACATACATACATACATACATACATGTGAGCACATATACACGCGCATATACAGAGAATTCTCACGAGTAAAAAAGTAAAAAAAAAAAA